GCGCTCAGCCCTGGGCGGCCCGTCCAGCCTCTAATCCATTGCTGCAAGAAAGGGGACGGCAGTCCGCAAACATTCACTTCAGGTCATCTGAATGCGCCATAATTGGCCGGAGACCACCTGGCGGCCATATCACTGCCACAACTCCGTTTAAGGAATCTATCGTACCAATGCTGGTATCTTCCCTATAAATGAAACCAGGCCAGTACAAGGAATGCAGCCAAATGGAGAAATAACGCACTGGCTCTTCTTGGAAAGGATTTGGAAGGAATCAGCAGAGACAGTTTAGGGTCCAGGCAAAGTCAATAAGAAACATCACTGCCTGGGTTCTGAGCCATCGTTCCTCACACGAGTCAGGGTGAGTGGGAGCAAGGCACCAGCTCAGGTGCCAGCTTAGATTTACAGGAGATAATGCAGTAGATTCACCAAAGCATCAAACATTAGTGAACCGCAGCTTTGGTGTGAGTCAGCCGTGAGACAGAGAAGCCAAAAGGACCAAGGCGATCATAGAGACACCACTTCCAGGACTGGGGAGAAGAGAACCATTGTGGTCTGCCCTGGTCAGGCGATGTTTGCAGGTTGGGTAAAGGAAGGACATCCCCATGCTGGAACGCTTCCAGAAGGCAGCCAGGATGGCGAAGCCACGCCAGCACAAGAAGAGTATCTGGAGGAACTACAAGCAGAGAAGGGGGCAGGGGAGCACATGGCAGCCACAGGAGAATGTTGGGAAAAGGGATGTCAGCAGAAGAGGGATCCGACTCCTTTTGTTTGACCCCAGAGAGAAGAAGCAGAAACACAAGCGGTAAAAGTTGAAAAGAGAACAATGGAGGGGCGGGGGAGGGGCGGAAGAACTTCCTGATTATGAGAGCCATCCAAAAGAGGGAGAGACTGCCTCAAGAGGAAATGCCATGGATGACCATGGTGTGACAATGGAGTCAGGAAGATCTGAGTTCAAATGTGGCCTCAGTTACTTAGATAGCTACATGACTTGGGGTGAGTCCCTTAGCCTCCACCTGCTTCCATTTCTCAATCTGCAAAACGAGGATAACAATTGCACCTACCTCCCAGCGTTGCTGTAAGGACGACACAAGCTAATGCTTGTAAAGCACTCAGCACAGTGCCTGCCACATAGTAGATGTTATGTAAATGTGTCAGGTATGTTGGAGAAGAGGATTCCTTTGGGATATAGGTTGGATGGGATGACTGGCTGCAGTGAGCCTGAGCAAGTCGCTTAATCTCTTCATTTGTAAACTAGAGATGATAATAGCACCTACCCGAGGGGTGGTCGGGAGGATCAGGGGAGATAAGAGTGGATGTGCTATTGAAAGGACAGCTAGGTGGTGCAGTAGAAAGAGCAGTGGCCCTGAAGTTGGGAGGATCTGCAAGTCACTTGACCCCAATTGCTTTTTAAAAAAATGCTATTGAAATGTTGTCATTATTATTGTTTCCACCACTAAGATCTCTCTCAACTGTGTAATTCTGTCGTTCTTCGATTCTAATAAGAACTTCCAAATTAAAGCACCACGTTCAGCAATATTCGGATTTCAATGCAAAGGTGGGCTTGGGGGGAAGACATCAAAAAACCAAAAGACTTTGCAAAGCGGGATCATCTCCCCTTAAGTATGCTCTTCTCAAGGTGAAATCCCCCCAAACCTTTCCATCAATTTGCATATAGTAATAATGATGGTGATGATGATAATAGCATTTCTAGGGTGCTTGATAATTTGCAAAGCACTTTACAAATATCATCCTCATAACAACCTTAGGAGATGAGTACTATGATTACCCCCATTTTACAGATGAGGAAACTGAGGTAGGCAGTGGTTACATGACTTGCCCAGGATTACATGCCTGTTAAGTGGCTGTGGCTGAATTTGAACTCGGAACTTCCCAACTCAAGTCCAGCCTTCTATTCACTGTACCATCTACCTGCTTTTGTATTTTATGAACCTAAGGACCTGTACTGTCTTAGTTGTTCTCCATACAATCTCAAGTTCACCAGCAGCCTCCTCTATTCTTGCTCCAGGAACCAAGCATAGCCCTTCAGGCGTGGTCTGCTCAGGGGTAACACTGTAGCCTAAGCACTTCCCCATTCCTCAGGGCCATACATGGGTTTTCTTGGCTCCCCTATTACATTCTTGGCTTATATTGGCTAATAAAAGCAAGCGAAAGCAAACTCTAGAAACGGTGTTGGGGGAGCTAAGGCTCAGAACTTGGTCAAAGGAGACTAGAGACCAGCTGGCCAGAAGTAGATGAGGGGTATGGGAAACAGCCTGGCAGAGAGGCAGGGCAGAGGAGTGGTGAGGGCCTTCCAACTAGCCCACAGGCCTTGGAGACGGCTTTCTCATCTGCCTGGCAGCAGGGCAGCCAAGACCTTCTAGGCTTTCCTCAAGGGCAATGGCCCCTTCAGAAGGTGGAGGGACCACAGAGAGGCAGTTCCGTTCTGGATCTAATTCATGACTGGGAAGGAAGTCATGTAAACCCTGGGGAGAAGTGACCACTGCCTCCTTCCTAGGGCTTGGGATAGCGACGCAGAGAAAGTCTGGGCTAAGGCTGATACCCACCCTGGCCTCCGGGAGAGATTTCAAAGGGTTTGGAGCAGACGTTGCTTGTTAATAATAGCAGCTAACAATTATTATCTTTGGATCCTCACAACAACTCTGGGAGGTAGGGCTATTTTGATCCCTATTTTACAGATGAGAAAACTGAGGCAGACAGTGGTGAAGTGACCTGGCAAGGTCACACAGCTAGGAAGGCTCTGAACAGGATTTGACCTTAGATAGCTTCCCGACTTCAGGTCCAGACCTTTCTCCACCACAGCACCCAGCTGCGCCTTTGCCTTTTTCATCTTCTGACACTTGGTGCGAAACCAGACAAATGTTTTTAAATGTAGCAAATACGGGAGATTATAAAGGAAACCAATTACACTGAAACAAAGATGCAGTTTTTTCCCCAACCAAATTCAAGGAGGCCCTGAAATCTATCTACAACACCTCAGGGGGTTCCACAGAATCCAGTTTAAGAACCCCTCACTTAAAGGAAGTATACATAAGTCCCAAGCACTAAAATTCTAGAAAGGAAGCCCACCCAGGAAGGATGCAAAATTCTCAATAACAAAATTCTAAAAAGAAGAAAGGAAAAGTTCCAACAAGGAGTTAAAACAGTGCGGTTCCTGTGCGGCCCAGGCTGCCAGAAGCAACTTCTTCATGTGATCTTGGCTTCATCGTCATCCTTCCTGGTGCTCAGAGGGGAAGGGGAGGATGGAGGAAGGGCTGGCACCTGGTCACTCCAGCTGGACCTTGGGGGAGGAGGAGGACAAGAGCGCTCAGGAGAGAGGGATGAGTGGGGGGGGAGGGTCTGGCTGAGGTTCCAGGGGTCCGAGACGAGAGGCATCCCCCTCATAGTTAAGTGGAGGTCTTCTCAGAGCTGTTCTGGGGTTGTGCCTCATCCTGCCCGGAGCCCCCCACAGAGGGCCTCAGAACTGAGCAGCGCAGAATCAGGTGCATCCCAGAGCTGCCCGGCTAAACTGGACCTGCCGAGCTTCCTCCTGATTCCCCCTCCCTAGAGAAGGCAGCTGGCATCAGGCCTGTCTTTGACTAGCTTTGCTCCCTCTGAGCTCCTGGGGCTGTTTGCTAGCAGTCAGTCTTGTTGAGGTCTGGGACCAAATTCTCAAACTCATCCAGAAGGGGGCTTTCTTCAATTACCGTGGCCCTCCTCACTAAAATGGTGAAAGCACCAGCTCAGGAAGAAGAGGGCCTGGATCCAAACCCTGCCTCGGACAGGTGCCACCCATGAAACTGGGCAAGGCTCAGGCTCTGAGCGCTTCATCTGTTCAATGAGGGGGTGGGGGGCTGGGCTCAGCTCCAGACTCCAACCAGAGCACATTGGACTTGATCACTGTGGACTCCCTGGAGGCAGAAGCCATGGGATGTCACTCAGGACCCCAGCACCCTCCTCCCATCTTCTAGAAGCAGCAAGGCTGACTTAGGGGAGCATGTTTCCATGGCAATGGGTGCCTCTTTCCTTGTGGGCACCCTTGGGCTGAGCCCTGACACTGGCCACACTGGTCAGGATTTGTGGCAGTGGGGACCGGGATGCCTCTGTGTCTTGGGGAGGGCTTCTGGGCCCTCAGTCCTGCATGACCCACCCATGGCTTCTGAGGATTGACGTCTTTCATGGACCAGTGTGGGTAGAGCAGCAGCTGGGAGACACTGGCCCATCACAGGAGAGCTTCAGTATATGTGCATATGCATCCTCAGGAAGGCCAGGGACAGAGCCAGAGAGTAGAATTAGGGCAAGCCAAGGCATGAGAATAGCCCCCAGAGGGGTAGTGTCAATCCTAGGGAAGTTGGTCCCAGGAGGAATCAGGGAGCAAACTTTTGCTGCCAGGGATTATGGTGCGTGCTCTGTGGATGGTCCTTGGGCACAAGCCCCACACCCTTCGGCCAGGGCCTTTCTGGGCTCAGGCTCAGATGAGGGGGATGGGGAAGCAAAGGCACAGAAGCCAGGGATGGCAGGATGAGGACAGGGGACAGAGGGGACAGTGAGCGGCCAGTCCACAGGGAGCAGAACAAAGAAGCCACTGAGACTGGAGAGTTTGGAGCAAAGGGGGAGGGGGAGAGGCCAGGTTGAAGAGGAGTGCAGCTCCTTCATGTGGACTGCCATGCTCCCTGCCCCCTCACCAGGGGCTCAGGGTCAAGTGAAGGCAGGATGGATCCTGCTCAGAAGGACGAGGCCTCCATGTTCGAGAGAAAGACGACAAGATTGGAAGGCTCCAGACCTGGGTCCAAGCCCTACCTCTGCCACTTCCTCCCCGCTCCACCTCTGTGAGAGGCCAATATTCACAGCCTCTTCCTCTGACCTCCTCCCGCTCCTCTCACCTGAACCATCGTTGAGATCCTGGGCCAGCAGCCACCTGACTCTAAATATGAACAGCGTGTCTCATGAAAACTGCATCCCTTTACACAGTGTCCAGGAACAAGGACAGCCCCAGGGGCACCTACCGTGGTCCTGAGGAGAATGACATCAGCTTCTCTCAAGGTACACGGGACACAGTTGGCCCACACGCTCCAGGCTGGTCGCCAGTAAAACACCAAGGGCAGGATCCCACAGGAAAACACATAGCCAGCAATGCAGAGGGTCTTCCGGCAGCCTTCAGTCTGATAACCAAATATCTCCTGAAAGACAACCAAAAAGGTTCCCAAATGCAAGCTCAAGCCATCCTCTTACTAGTCCATGGGAAGCAGAAAAATAACAGCTCGCCTTTCTACATCACCTTCCCTACATTGTCGCATTTGAGACTCACAAGCAACCTGGAAGGCAGCTGTGATTATTATCCCCATTTTGCAGATGAGAACACTGAGGCTAAAGAAATTAAATGACTCTAAGGTCCCTCTGTAGAACCATTTTAGCCATCGGGAAACTTCTAAGTGAATTGAAGAGAGTGGACCAGCATGTGGAATTAGGTGGTGATACTGATCACATCTCTGTGCCTCTGTTTCCCCATCTGTAAAATGAGGGGAATGGCCCCTGGTCTTGGATCCGATAACTCATTAGAACACACATGAATCTGCCTGGCTTCTGTCGCCCTCTGGAAGTTTTCCAAAGTGTGTTCTGTGCCCTTTGGATGCATGCCAGTGACCTATACCCAAAGCCCTTCTTCCTCCTCTTGGGGGCAGGTGCCTCCTGAGCTAGTGGGGACAGTGGGCAGCCCAGGCTCCTCCAGAGGCCATCCTCCTGGCTGGCTCATGGCCACAGGGGCTCCTCCCAGGGCAGGTTCAAGTTGTGCCCCTGTGCTTGCCAAGTCACTCCTGGTCCTGGTGCCCATTGGATGTGGCTGAGCCTCCTTGTTCTCGTTCTCAAGCTCTCCCCCATTCTCATTCAGCCCCATTCCCCGGAGAGCAGCCAACTGTCTGCCCACCCAGGTTCCTTCGCCCAGTTCTGTGTTTTCCTCCATCTCAGCTGTTGTCTGACCACAGCTTCCCAGGCTCTCTCCTCCCTCCGGATCATCTCTAGCTTTTTTCTTTTTAAAAATAACTCCTCAAAGCTGCCTTGTGTCAAGACTTCCCGAGCACAGTATTGGTGGACCTCCTGCCCTTTTGCAGCAGCTCTCACTCCACAGGACGGAGCAGGATCTGTGACAGAGGCGGTGGCCCATGAGGCCGGGAGGCTCCCTAGGCCTCCCTCACCTACCTCTGGGGCAGGGCACCGCTATCCCCCATGCCCTGAAGGCTCTCCCTTCATCTGCCTTCTGGCTTCCATCTAGACTTACATTTCCCTGCTCCCCACCCCATCCTCACTGCTCCTGCCTTCCCCTGGAGGCTATCTTCCATTGACACTATGTGTCTAGATGTATCTTATACATATGGAGTTATTGGGACGTTGTCTTCCTCCTTCCTTCCCTCTTTCTCTCCATTCATTAGAATGGGATCTTTGAGAGGAAAGACCTTTCTTAGTAGCCCCAGTCCTTGGCAAGTTGTAGGCACTTAATAAATTCATGTTGATTGACTAATGGACTGTAAATGGGCAGACTGATGGACTGGGCTGGCCCTCTAAGGTCAGGCTCCAAACCTGCCATCTTGGCAGGACCAGGCCAAACTTCAGCTGTGCTGGCAGAGTCTTTGAGAGCCCAAGATCAACTCGGCTATATGACAGATGCAAGGAGGGCTAGAGCAGATGTAAAGAGCAATGATAATACAAGAGTCATACAGCCAACCAACCTTCCTCTCCCTAGACCCCTCTGCCATAATGTGGAGGCACAGTGAAGAGAGTGCTAGGCTTGGGGTAAAGAGGATCTGAGTTCAAATGTGGTCTTAGACTCCTAAGCTAGCTGTGTGATGCCAGGCAAGTCACTTAACCTTTGTCTGTCCCAGTTTCTTCATCTGCCAAATGAGGGTGGGAACAGCCCCTACCTCCCAGGCTGCTGTAAGGATAAAATGAGATGACATTTGTGAAGCCCACAGCACAATGCTTGGTACATGTAAGTACTTTAAAATGTTTATTTCTTTCCTTCTTTGTCCACAAGGTCAATACCAGAGGAGCTCCAGCTAGGGCTGTCGTGTCAAGGTGGGAAGACTTCCAACCGGGCATCTGCTGCCAGGGGACCTGCCTGGCACATTCAGAAAGGCCCATCCAGAAGGATGGGCATCCCAGAAAAGATGGACAAGCACTGAAAATATCACCTGAGGAGAAGGGGCTGGGAGCTGGGGGAGTGGGGCATGTACCTCACCACTGACATTCTGGATGTTTCCAGGGTTTTTCAAAAACGTGGTGCTGCCCAAGTTACCCAGACCCATCCTGCAAGCCCTACGGCAAACACTCGGGGCATCTCAGAAAGGGCTTCTCTCCCTCCTGGAGCTGCCCCCTTTGCTCCCTGGATTCTCCGCCTTTACTGGAATCCTGGGTGGATGCCAGAGATGCTGGTGGGCAGCAATGTCTGGGAGGCCAACTCTGGGGCAGGAAGCAGAAATGGGAGCGTATACCTGCAAGGCAGTGAGAGCATGGGGAGCTCCACAAAGTTCATTAAATTATTTGTGTTGAGGGGCAGCTAGGTGGCACAGTGGATAGAGCACCAGCCCTGGATTCAGGAGGATCTGAGTTCAAATATGACCTCAGACACGTAACACTAACTGTGTGACCCCAGGCAAGTTACTTAACCCCATTGCCTAGCCAAAAAAAAAAAAATTATTTGTGTTGAATTAAATAGAATTGACTCCCAGGGACCCTCACAGACTATACGGAACGAAAAGAAATGTATCCAAGGTGTCCCCAAAAAGTCTTGATGCAGTTTTACGCTTTAATAGCTTCACTAATAACAATAATAACTACCTAGCTGCCTGTGAGTGAAGCTACTCTTCGTGCTTTTTGTCTCTTAGAAGAAGGATGGCAAAACCACATGACTCAGAGTGGACTAGTCGCCCACGTAGCCCCTAAAGGGATCATGGACCAAGAGTGGGGGCTCACTGTCACATACCCCAAGACCCTCGTTGGAATAAGCCACCTCTCATTATAACATGCATTCTCTCCTTACTTGTTAACCAATCGGAGTTGATTTCCACCCTCAGGTGCACCCGCTTTTCCAAAGACTTTATCAATATCAAAAGTTTGACAGACTCTGTCTCTGTTCACCAAGGGGAATGATGAGCCCTCTTGAACAGAGCCAGAGACTGTCAAACCTTGCCCGCTTTCTACATATAGTTAATAAAATTAATTTGAATTAACTCTGAAACTCTGTCTCAGAAATTTTCGATCGCCACACCCCAAAAGGTGGAGGAACCAAGAGCACGAGACAATTCTGGACCTGATCCAGAAGCCGGCAGAACAGATCCCAGATCACACAGTCAAAAGGCATTTCTAAGCACATACTATGTGCCAGGATTGTGCCAAGGGCTAGGAAGGGATACGGAGAAAAGCAAAACCGCAGCCCCTGCTCCTCGAGGTGCTTAAGGTCCAGCAGGGCATCACTGGGATGAAAGTGATGGGACCATGGGAGGGGCTTCCACCTAAGACTTTCTCATTGAGAAGAGGAAAGCCAATAATAAATTAGCTCTTAGCCTTCCTAATAAGAAGACGTCAAATGGCTCAGAAAAAGCCCAAGTAGGATTTAAGGGCTTCAGATCCTACAGGAAATGGAGGATTGGAGGAGTAGGAAGCTCTCACAAGGAAATTCTGAAGAGATGAAGAGAAACAAGTGTTTGAGGAAGAAAGGGAGAGCTGTCTGAAGGCACCAAAGGGATGCCCGGGGGTTTCTCAGACGACTTTGGTTTTCTAAAAGACACACGCAGACAGTACAAAGCCGAGGGGCAGAGGATGGCCATAAGGATGAGGACCACTGCTGGGGGTGGGGGTGACAACCAAGGATGGACAGACAGGTCTAGTCCTCTCTTTCATTGTCTCTGTCTTCTCTGCCAAGGAGAAATATCTTTGGGTTGGACAGCAGACAACCAAAATGGATGATAAGATGCTGATGCCCAAGAGAAGGAGGGAGCTGTTAAGACAGAAGACCCAGCTGCCTTGTAGGTCGAAGTCACCCATCTCAGGCGAACCAAAGCCCCAGATTTGAATTGGCCTGAAGAATTGGCTGATGGGATTTCCCCTGCCAGGGCTATCTGAAAGATTGCAGAGAACGGAGTTGGTGCCCAAGGACCAGAGAAGAGATAAAAATAGCTCTCACACACACATGCACACACAGAGGTGCACATACACACATGCACACATGCACATGCACAAGTGCACACACAAATGCACATTTTTCTTTTAAAGTTTGAAAAGAGCTTCTCATTTGTCATTTCCTTTGATCCTCACACCAACTCTTGAGGCAGATGCTGTTATCTCCATTTTTCAGGTGAGGAAACTGAGGCAGAGTACAGTTATGGGACACTGCAAGGCAAGATTCAAACTCAGGTCTTCCTGACACCATGTCCCAGAATCTATCCACTGCTCCACCCAATTGAGGAGAGATAATGTGCCCATTGTCTCTTTTTTTTTTTAGGCACTTGGGGTTAAGTGGTTTGCCCAGGGTCACATAGCTACTAAATGTCTGAGGCCAAACTTGAACTCAGGTCCTCCTGACTTCAGGGCTGGTGCTCTATCCATTGCACCACCTAGCTTCCCCTAATGTACCCATTTTCAAAGAAAGGGAAGAAAATAGAGTCTGGCTTCCAGAACTGTGGAAGATAGTGAAGAACTGTGTGACCCTGAGCAGGTCCCTTAACTTCTCTGAGCCTCAATTTCCCTCCTGTAAAATGGGGTTAATAACAGCACTGATCTCCTGTTTCATTCCTGTGAGAGCCAAATTAAAGAAGTTACCTCCTAAAGGGCTTTGAACACCTTAAAACACCGTAGAAATGGGAGCAAGTGGAGAGATGTGTGCCAGCAATGAGCAGCAAGGGCACCCGGATGAGTGTGAGCCCCTGACTGGATGACATTCTGCTCTTTCCAGTGCTTAGCAGGGCCCAGGCATATAACAGCCACCAAAGTGATCTTCCTGAAGCACAGATCTCGCACCACCCCAGCTCCACCAACTGCAGGGGCTCCCTATTGCCCCCAGGATCAAACTCCCCCAGCTGAAGTTTAGAGCTCATCCCCAGCCCCCCTTTCCATTTTTCCAGGCACTCAATGGCGCAGCCATATTGACCCTTTGTCCTCGTGTGACATCCCGTCATTCGCTCTCCCATCT